TCTCTCCCTAGGGAGAGGGTCCCTTGCCTGTCCTGCACGGTTATCTACGGCACGACATTTAGCTTCTCTATTACTGTAAAATGTCGTCATCCCACTTGGTTTACAAAGCGCTTTACGTACACCAGCTTATATTATGCTTCGTAGTGCGTAAAATTTTCCAAAAAGCGGACGGCAACAGACCAGTCTGAACAGTTTCCTAATTAAAGTACCAAAAATGATTTGGCCCATAGTCCATACAACAATGTAAAAACTTTGCACATAATGTTAATTTAAAAATTAATACCTAAGAAGAGAGATCAAATCGCAAAGGCTGAGTCGGGGGAAACAAACAAACGGAGCTATTGGTGACTAAATCAGCCGCGGTCCTTTTTTTCCACTTTTTCATCCGGGGCCCGGTTTGATCGCCGGGTTTCACCTTCGCGGTGGTTTTCTTGCCCCGGGGAGCGTACGTCACCTTTGTGTGGTAATTTCCGGTAACCCCGTCACTAACCTCTCTGTAGAAAGGAATAGGAAAGTTGATCCAAAACTAAACTTCGAAAATATTCATTCTAATTGTATACCATCAAATTTCTTCGGCTATAATACGAAAACCTCAAAAGGGCAAGGTAAACAGTACAATATAGCAAAAAACACGTAGCATTTAGCAGACGATGCCGATTTATATTAAACCAAGAACGCATGAGCATACCGGGATGGGAGAGACTGTAATATAATACAAAGTTCACACTGAGGTTTCTCCCATTTTCCCCTTTAAACTGTGGGTTTTTCTCCGGAGGTTTTTCATTGTACGATGTGAGGGTCTAAGGACAGAGGGTGTCGTTTTCTCATACTGATATTCTGTACAAACTGTGCTGTTGTATTTGCTGTAAAGTATCTTTACTGGAGGTTATTTTTTATTATATGTAGCAGCACTTTGGCTCGACCAAAAATCGTTTAAAAATGTGCTATATAAATAAAACTTGATTTGATTTGTTGTCTAAGTGGAGATCGGCTAAGCTAACGCAATATAGGACCGTCCACACTCACATCAACGGCCTATACAGACATAAATAAACCAGCGACTGTACTCGCCATGACACAGACAGTCAGTCGTCTGTACTTGTTTAACTTGTGTCTAGTTTCTGAACAGATATGAGGAGCTTGAGTGCAAACAGCTAACGGCTGATGTTGTTTTTTCTGGGGTGCTCACGGGTGCTCATTGAAGATGATGTCAAGGCTCCGCCTACACTGCGTTACTATAGTTACTGCCCACGCTCCTAAACTGTAATGGAAGCGCAGCATTAAAGTGAGCCGGGCCTAAGAAGGCCTAACCACACCGAGCGAGGCCTGCGGTGGAAATGCGCCATTAGACTGACTACTGGAGGAAGCTGTTATAAATACAGCAAGACATGTTTCTTATATTCGTATCTCGTTCAAAGCTTCACTTAAAAAACGCGTTTGTGATTTGCATACGCCCCAAAACACATTAACAATAACAGATTGCATGAAACCATTTTGTATTGTGATGAGTAAACTCTGGAAGTTTTGGCTCACACCGTCAGTTCACAAACTAAACAACACATGGACAGACAGGCGTGGACCGCTTGGCTCCTCCACCACTGACGCATTTACTCAGTCTGGAGATTTATCTTAAAAAAACATTGTATATTTTATCATTGTTGTGCAAAAGCCCTGCGTTCATAAGCCTAAAGGTCATAGAAGAGCAGAAGAAGCATGAAGGTTATATTCCGTGCAATAAATCTCCATAGCAACTTTCTTTTTTAAAACCCTTTCTAAGCCTTCCTCATGTGTTTGTTGCTAATTCCACCACAAACAGAGTAGCTGTGCAAAGGGCAAATACAGCTAGGTTGCATAGTGATTTCTATTTATATCTCCTTTACACTAAGCCTCAAGTTCACAGTTCACCCGAGGTTCACTCCAATGTTGTGCAGTTTCTTGGTAACTGAGAGGAATAGATCAACTAATTAGAAAGAAAACTAAGCTGGGAGACGCTCCAATTTACCGCCATATATGAAAGAGAAGCAGTTACAGAAGAATTACACCGATCAGCCTACTGACCTAGGCTGCTCAATGAATCGTATTTTAATCGCAATTATGATTATGGCTTGCAACGATTACGAAAACAACGTAATCGAAAATCGTTTTTAATAATCGTGATATCAATTATTGACCGAAATAATCGAGATTATGATTTTTGCCATAATCGAGCAGCCCTACACTGACCTGTTTATTACAAGCTCAAAAATGGATAACACTGGGAGAAAAAAAATACAGCTAACTTAATACTGAATACCAAAAGACATGATATAACATAAGACCATAAGGATTCACACAAAGAATCACAAACATGTTTACGCTCTAACTAAAGCAGTTTGTACGATAAATTACACAGGACAGACTGGCTTTGAAGGACTTTTCTCTCTATACTAAATGGATATCCTAAACAACACAAACACTGTCAGACTTTAAAGGCATCCTTTTTCATTTTTTGGAAATGTGCATCGTGTTGCACCGACTAAAGGGACTGATGTACTCAGTCGACAGCTGTGGTCACCGACGTCACAGGGACCCTTGTGTACTCACAGATGCGGAGAGTATAATTTTGGCTTTAAATGTTACGATCAATATCACTCTCTTAATTTAGAATCTAACTACAGTTGGCGTAGCTTAGCATAAAGACTCGACAGTATTCCTTGAAGGGACCAATATGTAAGATTTGGGGGGATACAGTGTTTCGAGGGCACTGCATCTTATTTATGAGATCGATTTGTGGCGGACGATATTTAATTGTGGCGTCCCGTCACAAACAAATCAATGTATGGGAAACACTGGGATCTATTAGCATTTAGCAGAGATGGCCATTTACATTTGTAATATTCTCAAACTAACAACTGTTGTAGTTCAGAATTAGCTTTTTATTTCAACGTAGGGAGCAGGTCCTCTACCACAAATTATTCCATGTCGCACTGCCATTTTTCTACAGTAGCTCAGTAAGGACAAACTAAACACTGGCATTATAGGTGGCCTTTCACTTGTGTCTATAGGTATAGACACAAGTGGAAGGCCACCTACAGTTCCTCACATGCTTGGAAAGGGAGGAAGATGTTATAATTTGGTTGGATGGCACTACATAAAGATCAAGTTTATTACCGAGCTAGGTCATACAGTCAGAATCCTACGACATATATAACCAATATAAAAATTGCAAATGTATGCAAAATGCTGTTCAATATTTGTTAGCAGGGTATCTAAAAAACAATACATTTAAGAAATGTGCTGAACAAGTACTGGCTTATTTATTGAATCGTCTCCTTCTTTGTTTTTTTATCAAACCAATATGTAAAACTTGCACCATCACCAAATAGTTCTGTCTCCAAAGAGTTCTCTGGAACATCTGAGGCGAGGCTGATCCTTTTGAATCAGAATCAAGTGCCGTTTGTTGTGCATGGTTGCTTTGTGGATTGAACTGACCCATTTCAATTCACCGCCAACTCATCTCTCATGCAACACACACACACGGTTTCTGAGTGGGGGGTGCAGAGGACCCTCCTCCTCTTCCAGCAGTGCTCATAGCTAACATCTAACCGTGTGGAAGACTTTGATTCACACAGATCAAAAGGAGCTATTTAAAAGGAGAAAGACCTTTTAGAAACGTACTCTAATCCTCCAACACGTGCCAGACAACCGACCGTCTGCACTCTCAGCAGACTGAATCCCACATTCTTGGTCGAAGCAGCTACCTCTTGCAGTTTTAATACAATCTATGAGCTGCAGGGGGAGGTGAGAGACAACTGTTCTTCATAGACTTAGATCGAAAGCATCCATTTCCCCCATCACAGGCCGGGGTATCAAACTATTTTTATCAGCCGTGGGTGTTCGTACTGTGACTACGCTGACTGGTCTTGCCTCTCCTCTCTTATGTGCATTGATTCAGAGCTGTTACGCAACGCTCTGCCCCCCATCCTCTTACGGATTAGACACTCCAACTCCCACACCTCCACCTCGCTGCCTACACACACTTCCAGCGCACAAGGGCACACCAACTGTATCAGCTCTTGCTTGACTATTAATGCCTCGGCTCAGCGGAGTAACCTTAGGCGTGCTCCTCTACACACTGACATCATGTTTATTCATCTCTCCTATGCAGTATGATAAGTGCTACACTTCCTCTCATTCATGGCTGGGACATGTATTAATATTAAGTCAGTATTGGGACATGAGCATAGATATCCTAGAAGTGGTACATTTTGTTCATAAGTTTTTTCTGGCTTCTTTCTGTACATCAAGACTGTTTTATCTCTTCTGTTATATGCCACTGAGGCTTTTTATCCACATTTCTGAGGATTAATAATACAAATGTCATTGTGTAACTTTGTTAAAGCATAAATGAACAGCCCAATATTTATATAGGTCTGTCCTCTTCTTAAGAAATGTTAAGTCGACTAGCATACATTTTGGATTTTGGTTATCTTATCAGATGAGATGTGCTCATAATATTCTTTAACATCAGAAATTTAGCAGGAAAAAAATCAATGATGGACGACAAAAATCTGTGTCGACTTATCGACTAAAGCTGGTAGCCCTAGATATCAAGTATTTTCCTCAGAAATCTTGTGATAGCCGTGGTAACAATATCTGAAATTAACAACTCACCCCATGCCTGCATGCTTGCTCATTCAGAGCTTTGACCCAGGTCCTCTGCCAGTGCTCTCTGAAGGACTTGAAGGAGAACAGAGAGGTCAACAGGCCTTTCACCCCTGCCTCAGATGAAGCCCCTGCACCCCGGCCCGAGCGGAGCTTCAGCAGGAAGCCCCACGCTCCTCCAGCCAGGCTCTGCTGGGGCTGTGTGATGGAGAGCTGCTGCCAGGCTATATCTCTCCTGTCCTGCTTGGCTGTCTTCCTGGATCCCCACAGACGCAGCACGGTCAGCAAGTACTGGAGCAGCCATCCCAGCACAATGAGTAGGGAGGTTAGGAAGAGACCTACCAGACACAGCCAGCCCAACTCCTGGAGCTCCATCACCGTCTCCTGGAGCCTCTCATACCACCAGGTCCAGATGGAAATATCAGGACTGTCAATCAGAGCAGATCCGCTGAAGAACCCTGTGAGTAGAGGCAAAATACATCAGTCAGTCATCTTGATTCAATGTGTAATAACAATGTATAACCCAAAATGCAAAGGGGATGCACAGACACGGAGGCTATGACCACTTTGACTTTAATATGCTTGGTTTTATATCCCATACAACACACCATGCATATGAAGCAAAAAGCCCTTGAACCTGCGTTAACGTTACGTAGATAAGGATTAATTGTGCATTATCTAAGAGGACGATGTAGCAGCAGGTTCATTCGGAAAATATAACAACAGATTATAAATTGTAGCTTCATAACAACCTACCGTTTAACTTGAACAGTCCGTGCTGCAGGCTGCAGGGTAACGAACGCGATGCATTGGTAACATGAAGCTGGTTTCATGGCGATGACCTGCCAACAGCAAATGTGTTTGTCCCATCTCCAAATCTGAAGCGACGTTTTGACTGAGGTCTCCCTGCGGTCATTAATAGATTCAAAATGAAGCCTCCTGTCCTCTGTAAGAACCGACAGAGTCCGGAGGGTTTAGGCTCTCCGCTGTTCGTACCCTGCTATCTCTGTCGCCTCTCCACAATGATGGTTTGATAAAGAAAGAGCAGTGGAGCCCCACAGGTGGCGCTGCAGAGGAACGCATCGGTAAAACGGATGTGAAAGGTGGAGCTTTCAAAATGAAAGCATGAAACATTAATTAGTTCAGTCTGGCAAACGCGAAGCAGGCAACAACACGGGGTTCACTGTTATTTCGTCACTTGGCCGTTTTTTTTTAAAATATCCGCTTTAAAAACAAAATAATAAAGGTTCTGAATTATTATTACACGATATAAACTTTTATTTTGAAAAGATAGAGCGAAAGTACCTCCTCCGGTTGCTTATAGGACGTGGAGTTTAGACAACCAGGCAGTGAGTAGATATTAGCATCAATAACATGTAATAAAAGATGGTATGGATCACCATTGTAACTTGTTGGTTTATTTCTCCGTGACACCGGAAGCACGGAGCTGTATTTTTGCTTTGAAATAACGATATGACATGTGTTTACCTCAGTGAGGACAACCAAAGCTCGTTGATCGATCGCCTCGTCAGATTAGCTTGAAACGTGATTTGATCTGTCAGAAAAGGACCACCGAAATGGCTGCAAACATGTCACCTGTTCCCGTCCTGCCGCTGGTGATCAACTGCTTCCTGTCTATGCTCGGGTGTCTGGCAACACTGAAACTCATTCCTGCTTTCAAAGACCATTTCATCTCAGCCAGGTTGTACGGAATGGACCTAAACAAAACGTCCAAAAAGGAAGTGTGAGTCATATCTTATCTAACCTATGATTACATATCCTTATAAAGTTTTAAGTTGGATATGCTACTTCTTGCTTGGAAGTCACATGTGATTGTTATTCCTTCACTAACTCTCCTCTTGTTTCTCTTCCTGGTGCTGCAGCCCAGAGTCCCAAGGAGTGATCAGTGGGACTGTCTTCCTCATCATCCTCTTCTGCTTCATCCCAGTGCCTTTCCTTAGCTGCTTTGTAGGAGAGAAGTGCATGGGCTTCCCACATGATGAGGTGGGTCTATCTATGCGTAACAAACCTGTGTGTTTTTATCAAATCTAAAACTCAACTGCTGTTTGTTTTTGCTCAGTTAGTACAGCTGATAGGCGCACTTCTGGCCATCTGCTGCATGATCTTCCTGGGCTTTGCTGACGACGTGCTGAACCTGCGATGGAGACACAAACTCCTGCTTCCCACCCTGGCTTCCCTGCCGCTGCTCATGGTCTATTTTACCAACTTCGGCAACACAGTCATCGTGGTGCCCAAGCCTTTCAGAGCCCTGCTTGGGCTGCACTTGGATTTGGGTGAGTCATGCGGTTGTTTTATACACCTTTCACATCGTACAGCTCCCAAAAGGTCTCAAGATGTTCCCAGGCCAGATGAGATGAATAATCCCTCAAGCAGGATGCGAAGGGGTTCTCTTTGTCCGTCCGTAAACATAGGCGTAGCCGGTTAAATAAAGCTCAAAAAGTTTGATTTACAAAGACAAAAAAATATATACTGTTTGACCAGAATATTGAAATAGAATAAATTAAATAAACTTAATCAAAATGAGGTTTTCTTTCAATTAAATATTCAGTACACAAAATCCAAGAGCTGTTGCCTTCGCTGCAAGATTATCAGAATGGCAGTCCAGGGCCAACACAGTCCCTGATAAACACATAGCCCCTCCCCATTGGCTTAGCGTCAATTAGTTACAGTTGAGAGAAGAGCATTATCTGCTTGTGAACATTATTTTATCGTCACAAGATCTTAGTCTCGGCTGTAATTTTCATATTTACTCGTTTAATGTATGTTTCCTCTGCAGGTATTCTCTACTACGTATACATGGGGATGCTTGCTGTGTTCTGCACAAATGCCATCAACATCCTAGCAGGCATCAACGGCATCGAGTCGGGTCAAGCCCTCTTCATCTCCGGCTCCATCATCGTCTTCAACCTGTTGGAGCTCAGCGGTGTGTGGCTGTTCACTCTCTCTCATCACGGGCATCACAGATCATACCCTCTGGATGTCATGAGTGTATTGTACAAATTGATTGATCAAACTTGACATTCCTTGAATAATTAAATACAGTTAAGGAATAATAAGAGGGGAGTTTTCGTATCACACCGCAATCATTTGTCACCCTTTTCAAATTGAAAGTGATCATTTATGAATGTTTTATAGTCCTTCCTGTTGCACAAAAATCCTTTTTACATTCAAAATGCTGAAATGTTTATTCTAACTATCAGTTTGTTGTCTAATCTTATTTCTCAGGAGATTACCGTGATGACCATGTTTTCTCCCTCTACTTCATGTTACCATTCTTCTTCACCACATTAGCACTTTTTTACCACAACTGGTAAGTTAAACCTAATAGAGTGCCGCAGTGACGCGTCCTAAAACCCGGAAGTAAACTCTTTCCGGTTCCTTCGACAAAAACGCAATGCAATTTCTCCACAGGATTTTGGAAAATAGCTGGAAATAAGGTCTGTGGTTGAGACACACTTAAGAGACGGATCACGTTTTGTTCAGCCGGATAATCTCCACATGTCTACCCTACTTTTATAATTTTCTAATCATAAATCTAGTCGCCAGAAGCAAAATGCTAACGTTATGCTATAAACGAACTACAGCATGGTCGCTGCTTCAACGTCACGCCAACTTAAGATCCATATTCAAACATAAAGATTCTAAATGGTACAAGTTGAAGCGTTTGTTTTAACATTTTGCAGGATGCAGCTACTTGCTTTCAAGCAGAACACAGGGGAAAACAAACTTAGCGGCAGTGTTTACGTGTTCGGCGTAATGACGTAAAACGGCCTCGACAACTTCTGTAGTCCTATTCAGCCACATGGTAACAACCATCGTTTTTATAGACGTTTTTCAAACTCTTCAAAAATTACCAGTGGGGTCACTGCTGATGTATTTAATGTTGTAGAACAAAACGTGATCCGTCTCTTCAATGTGTCTCAACCACAGACCTTATTTCCAGACATTTTTCAAAACCCTATGGGGAAATTGCATTGCTTTTTTGTCGAAGGAACTGGAAGTGGTAAAAATGCTAACTTACTTCCGGGTTTTAGGACGCGTCACTGTGGCACTCTATATCCGGGGGTATAAAAACTGTTATATCTATATATATATATATGTGAACTATATCTACATCTATATTGATGTGTACTTCAAAGTGATGTGCCTCTATATTATCTCAACTTGCAACCTTTTTTGGTCCCAGGTACCCTTCATCTGTGTTTGTTGGAGACACTTTCTGCTACTTTGCTGGGATGACCTTCGCTGTAGTCGGCATCCTGGGACACTTCAGCAAAACAATGCTGCTGTTCTTCCTTCCTCAAGTGGTGAACTTTGTCTACTCCTTGCCTCAGCTTTTTCACGTCATTCCCTGTCCCAGACACCGGCTCCCCAGGTAACCATGCATGAACTTAAAATGGGTTTTTAACATTTCTTATACATGCTGATTATGTACCATCATTGTCTGCCTTTTTGTTCCTTTGTTTCTCCCAATGACAGGCTGAATCCAGACACAGGCAAACTGGAGATGAGCTACTCTAAATTTAAAAGAAAAGACCTCTCTAAGTTAGGACACCTCATTCTGAAGGTAAGGCTCTTGTTCTATGATTCTCTAGTTTAAAAATAGCTTGAACATTTTGTCAAGAGAAAAATAATAAATGGAGAAATAATCATTTAATTCACTAATTGTTCATACTCTGTTTAGCACACATTACTTGACCTGATTAAACCTGGAGTACCATTTTAGCAGCATAAAATAATTTCAACATGTGGGCAGCAATTCATAGATCTTATAGCAGGTAACAGTAAAAATAAAAAGTGCATGTATTGAGTTTTACTAGGTGGGTAATCACATGTGAGGCAGGCTTTCTGCTGTGTGTATTCATTTCTAACAATATTATCCTCTACAGGTAGCAGAGTTATTAAAGCTGCTAGAGGTGCGACGAGGCCAGAAGGGAGATGATGAATTTATTGAGTGCAACAACATGACATTAATAAATCTGGTTCTGAAATGTCTCGGTCCTATCCATGAGAGAAACCTCACAGTCATCATGCTCGTCATGCAGGTACAACAAAGCTCCTGCTGTTTTGAAATGACAAGGGAATAGTGTTACGATGTGACTGTCACACCGGATGATCCTTTCTGTTCCTCTCCCAGGTGATGGGCAGCGCAGTGGCTTTTGGGATCCGTTACCATCTGGTGCGTCTCTTCTACGATGTCTAGACAGCCTTCTGGGAAAGGAGGAGCGAACGCTGACGGAGAAAATGATATTGTTCTATGGATCTATTTCACAGGCTTGTGTTTCATCTGCCTTTTGATAGTTTCCATTACCTCACTGTTACTTTCCGCCTAAGACTTTACCTGCAGTAAAGACAAAGGGCAAGGTTCAAATATATATTTCAATTGACAGAACAGTATCACATACAGCATCAACTGCAAGGGGTCAACAGCAGTGTTCTCCTAAATGTCAGTGAATACAAGCAGGAAGAAGTAAATGGGTATGAGTGATTAATGAAGGTATATTTTTGTACTGTTTTTTTAGAGGAAAGTACAGAAGGTGGGCATGATGCTCAGTAATCAGAGCAGCCAACATAAACTGATGGCTGCTTCTAAATTGCTACTATTTGAAAACAGATATAAGGAGGGTATGGTATACGGAAAATATTCACGCGGTGCTCTATTGCTCGAATCTGCTGTTAAAGCAAAAATGGCTATGGTTAAATGAACTCGTTCTCTTCATTTCCCATGACTCAATCCATACATAATATGAATGAATAAGTTAATATATGATTTTTGTTTGTTTGTTATTTTTACCTCTAAACAAACGCACACACAATGTCATTGTGAAGAGGTACAAATACTTGTATCAGCGTGAAAACAGCAAGTAAGGTGAATACATGTTCATAGAGAGGATATTAAAAGTGAGATGTCTCGATTGTTCATAAAACGTTACTTAAGTTCGATAGAAGGTGAATGGTGCCCTGATGAGAAAAAGAAGAATTGATTGTTTATAACTTTGTTGGTATTATTGGATACAAAGCTGTATTTTTATGACTGATATGCATTTTTCCCCTAAGCGTTCAGCATAAATCAATGTGAAGTAAACTCGCACTGGATTATCTTTCTAAGGAATGTATCTACAAGTGAGAAACTGTTTACTGTTGAAATGGAAGCCTCAAATTGAGACATTTGAAATAAAGAGGTTTTGGGTCATTATTTGCAGTCGTTTAAAAAGTATTACGTTTCTTAAGAGATAGCAACAGCAATATGACAATGTATACAAATAAAAGGCATGCATTGACAACTGTATTATCAGGATATGTATCAACTATCAAACGTCATAATTAAACATTTTCAGAGATATTATTATTGTATAAATTGGCCAACAAGTTAAAAAACAGTCCAGAAATTATAAAGATGAAGTCAACATATTGTTTACAGTTCTTTAATGCTAAATGTACAGGCAGGGGTCATTCTCAAAAATGTTGAGATTATGTGTCTTTAAATATATACCTGAAAGACTTGACAAATATATTTCACGTCAGTATTGGCTTTAGAAATTCAGAAGCTTCCTAAAAGAAACACCTCAGTATCTAAAAAACAGTAACTCAGTAACTTACAATATCTTATATTTTAATATTTCTCTGACGTACATCAAATCGCAAAGGATTTGTATGAAGCTCTTAGTGTTCTGTTGTCTATGGGCAGAACATATTACGACAGGTCAGAACTGTTGAAGAATGCGTTGTTTCTGGGGAAACATTTGCGCTGCACACTCCGTTTTTTTTCGGCTGGCCAAAACAATTCAATGTTTCATCACGTCTGTGCTTTTTAACAGTACGTTGTTGTGTTGAAAGACCTATTCTGTTAACATTTTTGACAGTCTCAGTGTTTTCTTCTTATTTTCCAGAATGTTATTTGTAAAGGTGTAACGTACGGAGAGCTTGTACATGTTTAGAGTCTATAAACACAACTTGCCAACCAACACACAGGACTAGCTAGCTCCAGGTTATGGTCCAGTGTTATAGCTTTAGTCGGATAAAAGTTAACACATGACACATTATACGTATTTATGACCCAGAGAGATGGCACCAAGCAAACGGATTCTGAAGAAACCGCTGAAGGTGGATTGTGAATGGAGTTCGTGCCAGGAGTCCTTCAGTCGGATGGACAACTTCTGCAGGCACGCGGAGAGTCACCTGAGTGCTCTGGACGAGGAGCAGCAAGAAGAGAAAATAGAAGGTGAGTAGGTTTTAGTATTATTGTTTAAAGTATATCTATATTGTTTATTCAGAGCTGTAGCAAGCTATTTGGAAATAATGCATACTAAACTGGCTCTTTAATTGTGATACATCGATAATAAATATTGACTACACAGACTGTATTTACACTTTACCAATATGACTCACTTCTTCTCATAGGTGTGTAGGGTTTTGTTTTACTTTTTATGAATATTTTTCTGAAAATGTGGCTGTTCTTTAATAAGAAGGAAGGCAATGCAAGTTTATTTATAAACTTTCAACACAAGGCAATTCAAAGTGCTTCACAAAAATGAGAGACATCAAGAGCCGTAAGAAATAGGGCAGTGGAAACACATTATAAAATGGCATTTAAAAACAGTCAGTAAAAAGCAAGGATAAACAAAAAACAAGCTAATATATAAAATACAAGTTACAGTAATAGTTCAAAGAGTCTTCAGGCTGGATTTAAAAGTAGTCAGAGTAGCAACGGACCTGCAGGTTTCTGGTAGTTTGTTCCAGATATTTGGAGCATAATAACTGAACGCTGCTGTTAGTTCTGACTCTGGGGACAGAAAGCAGACCCGTCCCAGAAGACCTGAGAACTCTGGATGGTTCATAATTTAGAAGAAGATCAGATGTATTTTGGGCCTAAACCATTCAATGCTCTATAAACCAGCAACAGTTATCCATTAGCATGCTAACACACTAAGAAAATGGATATTGTAGTGACCACTGTTTATCATAATTCACTCATGGAACTACAGGTTGGGGGTATTGTTCCGCTCGGACACACATGTTGACTGCACCTCCTGTGTACCTACTGTGTGCCCTCCTTTCTCTTCTCCCCTTCTCTTCCTGGCTTCAAGCCGGCACATGTGGTTTTCTGCTGCTCAATGATACATGGTATGCAAAAAGCAGCCAAGATTGCACACAATGTTTTTATGACATGGCTAATACAATATAGCAGAACGGACATATAAATTGCAAGAGAAGGTTGCAAAGCTACATAAAGTGCGAGAGGCAGACACCCCTGTGTAAAGTGCCATTAGCGGCTGATTGCGCGCGATATTTGTTTCTCAACCATCTTTGAGTGTGACCTTCATAGAAACTATGGGAGCAGTGAGCACAATTCCGTGCTCTCAGCTTGGCAGGCTATTCTACATAAGCTGCCTTTTTAATGGAGAAGCCGAGCATGTTTGGGTCCAAAAAGTGCGTTTCACGTCTACGCATGCGACTTCACAGTTCCTCTGGGTTTTGACCATAGTGCCAGCCGTCCAGTGTGTTTTTTTGTAATGGCGTTTTGCGATAGCTTTATGGTTGACCTCTTCAAATCGAATACGCCATTGGTATTACAACACTGGGATGCTCAACCTATTTGCAAGCTATTGCATGGGCTTATGCGTTCGTATTTCGCTGCTATGATGACACATGGACTGCAATGCGATTTTTACAACAATATTTAGATAAAAAATTTACAAGGAAGCCCCTGAATCCAATAAAAAGCGTAAGTTGTCTCATTTGTACAGCTGTGCTAATGAATATCTGCTATGGATTGCCGGAGATTAATGGCGGCTCGACTATGACATGGAAGGCCCTATTGAGATGACAAGCAGCTATTAAATATTTATCAAATCTAGTCATGAGTCATTCAGTAAATCAAAAATGTGCTGATGAACTATGACTCACATATTTATTCAGAGCCATAAATTATGAGCCATTTGCCCACTTAAGAATCAATCAGTCCTCATCATCATGCCCTGTAACTGCAGTCAGGACAACAGGAGTGACTGCTGCACATAATATCCAACCTTAAAGCTCACATTCACTGCAGTTGCATTGTTGGGGCGTGCAACTCAAAGACACAGTGGGGCCAAAATAAAAAAAAATGAGTACTATTCTGAGGGCCGGAACTGGTTCTTGGGATTCAATGTTTATTGCAAAACTTATGAAATGAACTCATTGCCACATATTAAACCTGGAAACTAACAAAGCTTTAAATTATTGCCCCTATGGAAAACAACATTACGATAAATAATCAGTTGCATTTCTTTCTTTTATGATTACATTTCACGGCCACAACCAAGCTTCAAACAATTTTCCCTCAGAAGAGATGGACCAAACATGTCCTGTTGTCGTGGAGCAGCGAAAAAGTTGCCAGAAGAAACATCCATTAAACTCAGTGTGCTGCCCTCTGAGATGCCTAGTTCAGATACTTGGCATCTCAGCATGGGCTGCAGTTCATCCAATGATTGGGGCGTCAGGGCCTCTGAGCTGGAGGAGACCCTCAGGATGCCCGGAGTGAAGGTGTGCGTGCCCAAATATTACCGGCCGGGCCAGATGCTAATGTCATTAGCAAACTTTTCCTGCGGGCCGGAATTAAATCCCACAATGGCCTATTTGGCCCCCGGGCCTGGAGTTTGACGTATGTATGTGGTAGACATTAAAAAAAAGACTGATTCGTTGCCTTACTATGCAATCTTTTTGCTCTTGTTTCAAGGAGAAAGAGACTGGCCTCTGGCAGAGATTGCTGGTTCTCTGTTTCTGTGGAGGGTCCTGAGGAGATGCGGCGACATCTCTTCTTTCACTGTTACCACACAAAACTGAAGCAGTTGGGTCAGCAGGTGCTTAACACCCGGCCAAAAATCGGCACCTGCTCCATCGGCTTCCAGAACTGCAACATCATCCCTGAAATCCCAGACAATTTCATCTGTCTTTGGGAGGAATGTGAGGTAAGCTTGGTGCTGCTGTTAATGAAGGAAAGATTCCTTGCAGTATATCTTGTTTTTAAACCACCTACTCCCACACAGTCGTCAATTTAGTATGCAAGAAAGCAAAGCAGACATCAGAAGGAAAGACTTCTCTCTGCAGCAGTCTGCATCTGTGACACGACAACAGAATAAATAACACTGTCAGCCTCAGTTACATTTATACGCAGTGTTTCCCATACATTCATTATGGGGGGGGTGCTAGTGAATTAATTTGTTTGTAAAGTTTGAGAAACAGAGCCTCGTTGCGGGGAAATTATACAGATGGCTAGTCCGCCCCTGAAAATGTCTATGCAAACGTTATTATTAAAAATAATTTAAAAAAAAAAATTATAAAAAAAATGTATCCCTTTTTTTTTTTCATTTTTATTTTGTAATCATCTCGCGACCCCCACTTTGGGAACCCCTGGTCTAATGGATAGTGGGGTGGGCTGATGATCGGAAGGTTGCGAGTTCAAATCCTGCCTGGAACACCACTACTAGTGTGCCCTTGAGTAAGGCACTCAGCCCTCGGTTACTCCAGGGAGAATGCCCCTGTAATTGGTCATTGTAATTCGCTTTGGAATAAGGTGTCTGCTAAATGCCTGAATTGTAAATTATATTTTTGAGAGAGTAAACCCCACAGATCCGGTGTGTCTCACTCAGAGCAACAGAACAACAAGAACGTTGTCTACAGTAGCCATGAACTTGCATGTATTTTCTTATTTGAGTGGGGGGTGGATGCGTGGGCCACCCGAATAGGTTAAGGGGCCTTTGACTTTTCTGCCCCCACACATAGAATCAAATTCTGTGGGAAACACTGTATACGTTCACCTCATTTTTCTGTTTGGGGAATTTGGAGCAAATTATATCGGGAGCAAAGCAATTAGACACTGCCTTCACTTTCATGTGCACATAGTCAGATACTTTCTTTCATTGAAGTGTTTGTGAAGTACAATTTTTAATCCTTGCTTCTTGAAATCTTAATATTTGTGTTGTTTCTTTTTCTTAAAGCAACCACCATATGAAAACCCAGAGTGGTTCTATCGCCACGTGGAGATGCACAGCCAGTGTATAGAAATACCAGCAGGAGAATATGAATTTCCAATACGATGTGGATGGAAAGGTTTGTAGATTTATGGCTTAAATATCGACTAAACAATAGATTTATGGTCAAAGAGGTTTGTGAAATCTTTATAGGAAGTCACGTAATATTACAATTACAGTTTGCACAATTGACATTTCAAATAAACAAATAAATGCACAAAACAACCGAGGGGATGTGTTAGGAGAAACAAAAGCACATTCAATCAAAGGATAGCCATCTCTAAAATACGTATTGCTTAAACCTTTTTGCAAGTTTCCTGAAATTGGTGTTCTTGTGTTTCATTAAGACAGTAATTTTTTCCCGTGCAAATATTTAGTGTATTATATCATAGCAGTTTTTTACATGATATGTCCGGTTTAAGCCATTTCCTTTGTGATTGCTGACACGTTCTGCTGTGAACTATGATTGTTGGGTTGTTTATTCTAAATTCTGGGCCTGTCACTTTACAGACTGTGAAGCCACGACTAAAGGGCGTGCTAAGCTCCGGGAGCACCTGCGCAGCCACACTCAGGAGAAGCTGGTGGCGTGTCCCGGCTGCGGGGGGATGTATGCAAACAACACCAAGTTCTTTGACCACATCATACGACAGAGTGCCATGGAAGGTAAAAACCAGAGTCATGAACAGACGATTAATAACAAGGAGGTTCGAAATGCAAATATTAGATTAGATTCAACTTTAGTGTCATTACACAGAGTACAAGTACTAAGACAACGAAATGTATTTTACATCCAGCCAGATGTGCAAAACAGTAGTAAAGTGCATAGTTATCTTAAGTATAGTATCAATATATACATCTGACAGTATTTACATTACGTACAGTGTAAGGCAGTATAAATTACATTACAAACAGCAGTTTAGAAAATCTATAGCTATGGTATAAATAAGACACAATACAGAACAAATTGAAATATATTATGGACCGTTTCTGTCTGGTTTATATAACAAGAATAAATCTGAGTGTGCCATAGAAGATCTAGATGTGCGGACATTTAAAAAAACAGATACGTTGGTTGACGTAAGTGAAAAAGTCAGTCCCTGAAATATGAAGCTGAAAAATGAGCATGTCTTCTTGAAGTGATCCTGAGCTCGTCTACGTTCTGCAGGTCAGAGGTTCCAGTGTTCTCACTGTTCCAAACGTTTTGCAACAGAAAGACTTCTGAGAGATCACATGAGGACCCACGGTTAGTGCCGAGTTTATTCATCTGCACGTTTGAACCGCACACTCTCTTACTACTAACAACCATCTGACACACCATGCCTTCATGTTTCAAGAGATGCCCTTGCATTCAATAAAAGCTATTCGGATAGGTGTCTTGTTATAACAACAGTGTCAAGTCATTGAAAACTCATTTCATCATGGTTCCTTGGCATTACATGTTTGACCAGATTGACTATTTCTAGATGATTAAATCTCATCACTTGTTTTTCATTTTGTCTTGTCGCTACAGTGAGCCACTACAAATGCCCGCTGTGTGACATGACTTGTCCGACTCCCTCCGCTCTGCGCAACCACATAAAGTTCCGTCACAGTAACGAGAGGCCGTACAGCTGTGAATACTGCGAGTACAGGTATCACACAGAGCTGCAGCGACTCAAAGCCAAACACACACTGAAAGGATTGTTTTCTTCATACTCCCATCTTTGACTTTGTGTTTTCTAGCTGCAAGAATCTGGTAGACTTGCGCAAACACCTGGACACCCACAGCAGCGAGCCGGCATTTCACTGCGATGTTCCCGGCTGTGGCTTCACTTCCCGAAGCTTCATCACCATGAAGATCCACCACAAAAAGGAGCATGAGGTGAAAAATAGTCGTTATTTATACTCAGCGATATACACCCTATTACACTGTTTTTCATCAATATATTATAGGTCTCAGATATATACAGAACATGTCTCTGAAGTGTTTGGCTCCAAACACCAAACAGATCATTGCAGCATTACCCATAATCCCCTCTGTTTCAGCCCTGTTTCCAAAGTGCTGATTCTCTGTCTGTTACTTTAGATGAAAATAAGGAGCCCCTCCCCACGCCCCTCTGAGAGAGATTTGGTTAAAAAGAACACAATAGGCGCTTTCCCATCGGAGTACTTTTCCTGTTTAGTTCTGATGGTTCCTGGAATTTTGCGTTCACACCAAAAAGAGAACTTAGTTCAGAGAACTTTTACCCCCATTTTCCGTCCCTGCTAGAGAGGTGGTACTTTCCTGGGGAGAAAAAAGTTTCTGATTGGCTGGGCGAATTACAAACCACGCCCCATAAAACTCTGAATCATGCATCAGCATTATTAGCATTAGCATTAGCATTAGCCCAGCACACCAACGGAGAGAGAATCACTTATGGCAAAAAAACAAACAAACATGGGAGCGGTGGAGTGATGAGGAGGTGTCGGCGTTCTGACGATTTACTCGGAAGGCTTCTACTGACCTTGGTTACCTTGGTTGCTGATTGGCTAATGGTTACACAAGCCAAACATCGTTATGACATCATAAAGTGGCCAAAATCTGATCAGCTCATTTTCAGACAGGTTTTTATAGAAACAGATCATGACAAAAAGAGAGTAGTAATCTTTGTTCCTGAAACTTTCAGAGTCTCTTTCCACAGAGGGGACACATGTTGATGTAGAAGAG